CGAACCTCGCCCTCTCGCTCAAAGTGTTTACGCACGCGCTCGCCGTGCACACGCCGGGACTCGAACTCGCGACGAATACTGCGTCGTCGTTTCGCGGCCCTGGGTTTGCCAACGTACGACACATGGGCGAGAGGATCGTGTGTTTAAAGCGAGGCGTAGATGGGCTTTTCAACGCTCGGGTACTCGGAGAAGGACCACCACCGCGTTGCGTTTGCGTACCTCAAGCATCTCTGGGCCGTGGGGGAAAAACAAAAGGCGCTCTCCGAGCTCGGGACGCTCGTGCAGACGCTCTCACGTCGGTCGCCCCTCACAGGTAGGCCCTCTGCCTTTCTTGTTCTTCTTCTGCGAGTGGATAATTTGATGTGAAACGATACTAGTCGGCGCCGTGGCAACCAATCAAGACGAGGAGATTGTCAAGTGCCACCTCAAGTGGGCCGAGTGGCAGCTCGCCATCCACGAGCAGCAACTGGACCGTGTCCCGATCGCGGCCGTGCTCAATGCGCTCAAAACGAGCACGGAGCTCGAGCCCTCGAGCTACAAAGGTACACCTTTCTTGATACGTTGATACATTGATAAGAGAACTTGTGATGGTGCGTAGCGTGGCATGCGTGGGCGCTCATGAACTTTCATGTGGCCGAGTACCACTCGCAGCTACCGCCAGGGTCCAACCAGGTCCTGCTACCGGGCAAGAAGGAGGCGTCGGACCTCGGGCCATACATTGCGTCGGCGATCGAAGGCTTCTTCCGGTCGATTGCACTGGGCCGGTCGCGCTGGGCCGCCAACGTGCAGCAAGATATCCTGCGTGTGCTGACGCTTTGGTTTGCGTACGGCCACCGCTCGGACGTGCACGGCGCGCTCGTGTCGGGTTTCCAGAGCGTCAGCATTGAGACGTGGCTGATTGTGATCCCGCAGCTCATTGCGCGGTTCGTCGTCTTCGATCCAAAACAAAACAAAAGAAGAATCCAAGTATCCAACATATATGTGTAGGATTCATTCGCCGCACCCGCGCATCCAGAGCCAGCTGCATCGGCTCTTGTCGGCGATCGGGACGCAGCACCCGCACGCGCTCATTTATCCGCTCAGCGTCGCCCTCAAATCGCCGCTCGAGGTACTTGTATCTCGGGGATCTATCGATCGGAGACGACGAGCCACTAGGTCCGGCAACGCGCCGCCGAGGCGATTATGAACTCGATGCGCAAGAACTACGTCGACTTGGTCAACGAAGCCCTCCTCGTGTCGCGCGAACTCATCCGCGTCGCGATCCTCTGGCACGAACTGTGGCACGAAGGCTTGGAAGAAGCGTCGCGCTTGTACTTTGGCGAGCACGACGTCGAAGGTCCATCGATCCTTGCTACGCTCGCCATTTTTGACGAAAGATGGCAACGCTAGGCATGATGGCGGTGCTCGAGCCATTGCATGCGATGATGGACAAGGGCCCCGAGACGCTGCGGGAAGTGAGCTTTCACCAAGCGTTTGGGCGCGACCTCAAGGAGGCGTACGACTGGATCCAGCGCTATCTGAGTCCGCACGGCGCCAAGAACGGTGCGGTCTTTGTTGCCACGGGATACCTTGTTACAACAACTTTTGTCTAGAGTCGGACTTGAACCAGGCATGGGACCGCTACTACCACGTCTTTCGCCGCATCAACAAGCAGCTGCCGCAGCTCACGACGCTCGAGCTGCAGTATGTGAGCCCGAATCTACTCCACGCCCACGAGCTCCAACTGGCCGTGCCCGGTACCATTTCCATCCATCAATGTATCAAGTTGATCATTGGATGCGGGGCACAGGCACGTACCGCGCGGGCCATGCGATCGTCAAGATCCGGTCGTTTGTGCCGACGATGCTCGTGCTCACGTCCAAGCAGCGCCCGCGGTACTGTCTTTTTGACTTGCAGATATCGACGACGACGCGTGATGACGCAGGCGCATCACGATCGTGGGCACAAACGGCCTCGAGTACATGTTTCTGCTCAAGGGCCACGAAGACCTGCGCCAGGACGAGCGCGTCACGCAGCTCTTTGGGCTCGTGAACGCGCTTTTGATCAACGACCGGACGACGTCCAAGAAGGACCTCAAGATCACGCGGTACCCGGTGATTCCGCTGAGCCACAACGCGGGCATTGTCGGTATGGCGCGGTGTCGTCTTGATACATTGATAGATGGAGAATGCTATGGTAGGCTGGGTGCCCAACTGCGATACGCTGCACCAGCTCATCCGCGATTACCGCGAGGCGCGCAAGATCCTCCTCAACATTGAGCACCGGTCCATTTTATTCCATATTCCATGTCGCGTTGTGGAGAATATGACAATGTATGGATAGGCTCATGCTGCAGATGGCACCCGACTATGACGTGCTCTGCCTGCTTCAAAAGGTCGAGGTGTTTCAGTATGCGCTGGAGAACACCGCCGGCCAAGACCTCTACAAAGTACACATTGTCGTTCGTCGCATGGACGAGAGACGAACTCTCGGTAGGTGCTCTGGCTCAAGTCGGAAAACTCGGAGGTGTGGCTCGACCGCCGCACCAACTACACGCGATCGCTGGCTGCCATGTCCATGGTATCTACCTATGATTGTTTAAAACACACAGAGGACACTAAACTTGTACCTTCGCCGACTAGGTGGGGTATATCCTCGGCCTTGGCGACCGCCACCCGTCCAACTTGATGCTGCACCGCTTCACGGGCACGATTGTGCACATTGATTTCGGCGACTGCTTTGAGGTCGCGATGCAGCGTGAAAAGTACCCGGAGAAGATTCCGTTCCGGCTCACGCGCATGCTGACCAACGCCATGGAGGTGCGTCATGGATTTTTCTTGGATAGATGTAGATAAATACTGTCCTGAGGATAGGTGAGCGGCATTGAAGGCAACTTTCGGTTCTCGTGCGAGTCGGTCATGCAAGTGCTCCGCGACAACCGCCACTCGCTCATGGCGATGCTCGAGGCCTTTGTGCACGACCCGCTCATTTGCTGGCGCCTCGTACGTTTTGTATCAAGTCGTATGTATCAAGATGATACTATGACGCATCGTAA